AAACGAAATGTTAAAATTAATGTTGAAATTGTTAAAATGTAAAATGATTAAAATTGTTGAAATTGTTAAAAATGTTAAAATTGTTAAAAATTGTAAAAAGGGTAATTAAAAATATCCAGCGTACCGGGGTTCGAACTCGCAATGTCTGGACTTGCAGCCCTGCGCGTTACCAACCGAGCTATCTGGACGCGTTTCCATTACTCTCTGCATTGTATGTCATATAAAGTGAACAACATGGCGGTAACGATCGCTTCAAGTACTAGTAAGGGACTTTCTAGGAGATTTCCTTCTTTATCAGGTTCGCTTTTGAACCACCGGTACCTTGATGTAACGTAACTATCAATCCGGCTAGCAGAAGCCGCCGGCTCCCTGTCCAATCTTTGAAAACTGTCGGGCATGCAAGCCCTCAACGCTCGCTTTAGGAAAATTTGCCAGGAAGCCGTCTTGCGATGCTCTCAGCAACAACAAATGGACGCCTGTACACTCTACAATTTTGGTGATTCTTCAGAAATCGATAACAGAATATATAATACTAGTCGGTGAAGATTGTGGAAAATTGTTGATACCGTGGCGCGCGCGCGTGCGCCGACGATACACATTACGTACCGTTGTTTACAGTACTCGCGGGGCGCAGGTCATTGACCTCCCGCTTGCGTTGTTCCAACAGAGAAGAGCAAAATATCTGCCAGTTTTTGCGTCAGATTTTCAGTGTTTGTTAAAATCTTATACAGGCATCCATGCAGATATAATTCTTCCAACTAGTTCGTAGTTAGGTGAAATGTTTATAGGAATCACACGAATCGGTATCCAATATCAGAGTATCAAATAGTAATGGCCCACGGCCGAGACCGCGTGGACCAGCCGATGGCCCACGGCCGAGACCGCGTTGACCAGCCGCGCTGGTAATCCCCCTGTTGTACGTGAAAATGGTAGTAAATTTCGCCCAAAAATGAAGGAGTTGAATCAATTTAAAGAAGTGGCAGGAGAAGAAGGAGAAGGAGAAGAAACATCAGAAAAAGCAATATGGGTTCACCACCACTTCGTGGTGTGGTGAACCCATAATAAAACATTTCACTTTTGACACATGCATCTGTGCTCTTTATTCATCAGTATTGTCCAGACATTACAATTTCAATGAAACATACAAATGAAACATAGTTCCTCTGTAATATACAACATGACACTACTGATTCCAAAAAATGGCCTCCCCATACATAGAGCTGTGTAACCTACTCTAACAGAGAAATTAGCTCCACATACATATCCTAAACTCTTTCCTGTCTCTCAAATCTTCAATCACAAATGAAAATCTGTATCTCTACCTAAACATTTTCCCTCCCAACATCTGATTCGAGATTAATATTTTTCACTAATTCCATTCAAGCAAATGACAATGGAAGCCAACTTATTACCCTGTTTGGTGTTACAGGTATGAACATACTAGGTGATACATTCTTTCCTCTCTAGCAGTTACACAAATCTATGTGGACATCCTCCAAGAACACAAAACTACATGGCCAGCGGCCGAGATAAACTTTTTTCAAAAGTCTTGTTAAAACTTTCCCTGATTGAGAATCTTCCTAAACCTGACCAAATGAGTACCAGGGTTAGGCAAGCTATGGCGAGAAGGAAGGACGACTCTGCCGCCGAGAAGCGAGAAGTGGGAAGATAAACATGGCGACGGCGTGCACGTGACTGAGGGAACTTCGTCGGATATTTAAGCCTAGTGCTAGTGAGATCTGAATGCCCAAAACCATGTACCCAACAACACTTGCTTGCAACTTTGCTTGAAATGCCTGTATACTTTGGTGTAGGCTTCATTTTTTCTTGAAGTCGGCCAGGGTGCAGGTTTGAAATTTGTGTGTGGTTCTGTGCTGCTAATACATGTAATTCAAAGTTTGGTGCGATGGGATTTCAAAACACACTTTTTGTTATACATTCCTTTTTTTTTAATAGACAATCACCGTCATCCTAACTGCACATTTTGGGGACAAGGGCTACCATTGAAGGATGCCAGAAGACAGGCCTGCCTTCTGGCCACAACAGCTGCCATGGAAGCCGCCCTATGTTATGCCCTCGTGGTACAAGGGTAAGATTTTTTTTCTGTTTTATTGTATGCCAGTCCATAGACTGAACTACCAAAGAGCAAAAGAGAGTCCATTCCATATTGACGCGCACCATATGTGAATTGAAACGTCCGGAACGGTCCGGAACGTTTCAATCCTATTCATTTGTAGAAATCGAGTTTTGGACGTCTTGGTCTGCCTGGAGTTCTACGGTGTACCATGTGCATACTATTTCTCTGAATTTCAATGCTTTTTAAACCAACACAACATTAAATGATAAAATAACCTAAAGCAAGCGAGGGTCAATATGCATGTGAATGAGCCGTTTATTTCTAACACCGTTTATTGATTTTCGTTTCTACGTAACCGAAATCTTCGAGGTGTGTAATGTGCGTGTTGTACAGAAAAAAATGCTTTATTGAAATCCATGCACAGAGCGCCTCCCCATATTCAGCTCCCACATTCGCCCAAACTTCACCTAACGTGTTTGCTTGCATAAATTATAATATATTGTAACTCCATGTTACTTCACAGAAGCAACCCTGGAGGCAGACAGAAACTGGACCAGGGACGGTTTGGTTCCGATAATAGAGGCGGCGTACAGCTTCTACGGCTACAACAACGCAACATACATGAGAGTCGACGAAAGACGGAACCGTCAGCACGCCCCCAGCCACCCCGTCCCAGGAAGCCGGCCCGCAGCCCAGCCAGCC